CCTTGTACACATTTAAACAAACCCCAGACTCTCTGGATTTTGACTATTTATGCAGTTCGGAAAGACTGCAGTGAAATGTCTTGTGTGATTACAGTACCCAGGGGTACAAACTAGCTAATGGGAGAATGTGATTTAACGAGTAAGGGAGTTGTCCAGTATTCTTGCCTACAGGAATAATAAATAGAGGCAAGTCTGCTACATATGGTTTTTAGTGGAAGCCAGGTGGCTCTCTAGCACCTAAAATTGCCCTCAGCCATCTGAAAGATACAAAGGGAAGATGTGGAAAGGTATATGTTTTGTTCAGGAATATAGCCATTAAGTGATTAAATTAATAAATGGCCAATATTTCTACAATGAAAGTCTGTTACATCCTAGTTGAGATCCTTATTCAATCCTAAATTGATAGTGTTGAATTTGAAAATAAATTCCATGGAGCCATCCTTCTACAAAAGAATTTCAAAAACCGGTTACCAAGTGAAAATGAATTTCAAAATTTAGCTAATTCAACACTATCAATTTAGGATTGAATAAGGATCTTAGCTGGTTATTGCATTACAAAGGCAATTTCCCCTCTCTGGATATTCTTATCTCCACAATAAATGCTGTGAATGATCCACTTCCAAGCTGTCTTAATTAGCTTCTTTAAAACAAGTAGCTGCTTCCTTTTATTTATATATATATACACACACACTCCTTCTTCTGTAATTTTCACTCCAATTCATCTGAAGTGGGTTTTACCCATGAAAGCATATGCCCTCATAAATCTGTCAGTCTTTAAGGTGTCACACCATTCTTTATTGTTTTTGCAGATACAAACTAACATGGCTACCCCTCTGAGACACGATACGTCTTAGTTACTTTGAGTTCCAAGGTCAATTTCATCATCTAGGTGCTATACAGCCAAAAGTATTTAGTCTGCTGCCTCAGGTAAGTTTTATGTTTGACTTCATCCATGATTCATACCTGCTGTAAAATAAATGTTAATAATTTATAGCATTCATTTGTCCTGCTTTGGAGAGGCATTGGGTGGAAGTTACAGGAACTTGGATTCACTGCATTTAAAGAATTGCTGGTTTCAAGTTGACTTGTCAGTCCATGGCATGAGCCAAAGCCGCTGAAGCCAATGGGAGTCTTTTTATCGACTTCAGATGAAGTCTAGGTGGGGCTCTAGATGGGGCCAAGACCATTATGAAAAAGCACTGTAAGGAGAAGGGGACAAGTGGTAGGTAGCAACTGAAGGAACTGATGTTGGTGATAAGATGCAAATACGGATGGAGAAAAACTACTCCTGTTGTATCTCTTTAAAAGAACGTATGGTTAGGGATAGATTCTGCCATTTGAAAACCCTCTTCTGTGTGTGGATGCAAGGTTTTGTCAGACTTAATTAAGCCATCAGCAACTGCCTAGCGTGCCATGGTATGTTATATTCTTCAGTCCTTCTGTCTAGACTGATCTGTTAAGGAATCCAACTATGAAAACCTATTTTGGATGAGATTTCTGAAAGCAATCAGTGTATGTCCACATCTGATATTATAGATAAAAAACTCTGCCCTGGGAATGGAATTAGGTCAACCCAAAGCTTTTTTTGAAAATCCCAACCCTTGGATTTTGATGTGAAGGGAAATTAAAAACAAAACTTGGTAGATATCAGTCACTGCAGTTGTACTCCCTTTTTATACCACAAAATCCAACAAATGCAAATTGCCAAAGTTAATCAGTGCCTATAATTTACAAACATAACTTCCCCCTAAACTGGCAAACATATCTTAAAAAACTTAAGCCAATTAAGATCATATACAGTACAATTGATAACTGCATTAGAATTTAGTGCAATAATTTCTTCTTAGCACTTAAAAATGGATATTTCAGGAGGATTTTCTTTAGAACCAGCTGTGCAGTTATTGAACAATAAAGGAAATGGGTAATTATAAACGGTCTTGTAAGCTCATGGCTATATTCAAATCTGTTATCTACACACCCAAAATTGTGCCTGGAATGCATAGAGGGGTGCCAACTCTGACTGATGCTATTATAGGAAAGGTTTTTTCCACAACATGATATAATGCCATTTTCTTAAAATAGCCCATTAAAATCTCCAGGATCTTTCTTAATAGTAATTGGGAGATTGATGCCAATGCTGAGAGACTCAAAACCAATCCTGGAGGGTTGGCAACCCTAAATGTATAGAAAATGTTACTATCTGCTAACATAGTGCAGTTTGTAAAACCTGTTATGTCCCCAATTAATGAAGCCCATGTGGGCAGCCCCCTTATACTCTTACCGAACTCCCATTTACTTTGGTGCCACTCAGCATGGATTTGGGAGTGAACCTGCACAGAACTCATTACAAAATCCTGGGACTATGGCATGAGGACTGAGAGAAACACAAAATGGGGAAAAGATGACCCAACAGAGCAAGTTCAATGTCGTCTCCTCTTCTATTTTGATAGAGGACTGACCAACACAGTCAACTTAAATGACTATTTTTAACCCTTTGCTAGGGTCTAGTGACAATTAAATTACATGATTTGATTGACAGAGGGGAGTGGTGAACTACCCAGGGGCCCGCTTTGACTAGAACTTGTTTCGAAGTCATTTCATGTTGCACACCAACAAAGTGAAAATAGTATTAATTTAGCCTGTTGCTATGATGATCACGTGTAAGGATTTGTTTAACCAATGCAAACATAGACCCTACTATTGTGGTCCAATGCAGTATTGATGAAAAGCCCATTTGCTATTTAGGAAATGAATCAAAATTGAGAGATTCCAAATCCTCCTATTGATACATGCATGTTTGAAAAGGCAGAAGAAATGCAATGATTTGTAATACACCTTTTGCACTAATAAAACTTCCATTTTCCCAGTCCTAACTGAAAAATACTTAAAACCTGGATAGATCCTATTTCTGAGGATGAAGTAGATTCCTATTCTAAATATTTTACCTGAATCTCAAAAGGCTGTAACATGATTTGGTAAGACAGTTAAAACATTTTCATACAAAGCATATTTTTACCCTTTTAAAGTGAGCTACTCAATCAAAAAAAATGGTAGTTTTTTAAAGCCAAGATATGTCCTAGTAAGAGTTTAAAATAAGGCCTTTAATGTCTTACAATTTCATCTTTATGGACTGGATGTGCAAGATTGGATGCAGGTTTTTGATGAAACCAGAAATACTTTTTATAAGATCATACATAATGATATATTGAGCTGGCATTTGTTACATTAGTAATATACATTTAAAAGGTCTATTGTCTTGTATCTTGAAATATTAAGGTTGTTTCACTAGATCAATAGTCTATCAACTTTCTTAAAGATAAATTTCTCAAATTTAAAGATGATCTCAATGTGGATATTAAAGTTTTTTCATTGAAAAAAGGCTAAACAAACCGAGTGGAGAAATTCAACATTTCTATATGGAGTTTTACATTTATCCCACCCAAAATGGATGACTGAAAGGGAGATCTCCATCTTCTAACATACTAATTCCATCTAGAAGGAAGTCTTTAGCTCTTAATGTTGTGTTGCAGTCTGCCAAGGACCTTGTACAGATGCAAGATTCAATAGTTGGTTATTTTAATGCCTCAGAGCAGCTGATTCATTTGTTTTGCTTAGACAGATTGCAATTCCAATCAGCATAGATTGGCACATCCTATTTGTTATCAAGAGCAAAACCAGCAGTGACTTCAACAGGCTCCATCCTGCAAAGTGCAAAAATGCCTCCTTGGACATGCTCAGCATCCTCTGCTCCCAGATGATGCATCTACACAGCAGGGCTTAGCTCAATTTGCGCAGCTTATTTCAAGTTATGGCAATTGCATAGCTTATTTTGAAATAGGGAGTATCTACACTGCACTTATTTCGAAACAGAGCACTTTTCCTTCCATTTCCCTTACTCCGACTCCTGTAGCCCTCATTCTACAAAGGGTAAGAAGTCCTCCAGCTTGACAGTATTGCAACATTATTTTGAAATAATGTTGCTGTGTAGACATACCCAGAAAGATCAGTAGAAGTAGGTAGCAGGTAGCATCTTACTCATTAGCTGGCATAAATTAGGCTAGGCCTTTGTTGGCCCATTGACTTGTACACCAGCTGAAATCAGGCCCTTTGTTTTCAGTCAACCTCATTGGAGGGGAGGGGTAGGTGGGGAGAGAATCACACAAGTGTTTAGGGCCAAAGGATAGAAAATGTCTTTGTAGCAGAATGCAGGTGATTAAGTCATTGAGAGAGTGTCCTTTCTGGTTAAAATGGCAAGAAACTGTTTTTTCTTTGTGATCTTGTCTGATATCTGTTTTGTGGGCATTAATCCTTTGGCGAAGTGTCTGAGACGTTTGTCCAATGTACATAGCAGACGGACACTTTTGGCACATGATAGCATAGATTATATTTCTGGATGCGCAGGAATATGTGTTCTTGATCTTATAACTCACTTGGTTAGGTCCAATAATGGTATCAGCAGAATGAATATGTGGACAAAGCTGGCAACGGGGTTTGTTGCAAGGGAAGGTACCAGGGTTGGTATTAGTGTGGTATGTCCTGTGGTGGTTGGTAAGAATCATCTTGAGGTTAGGTGGTTGTCTATAGGAGACTATGGGTCTGTCTCCCAGAGCCTCTTTGAGTATGGTATCCTGTTCCAGTATAGGCTGTAGTTTATTGATAATGTGTTAGATACTGTTGATTTGTCAGTGGCCACCAGTAGGAGGGTCAAAGACGACAGTGATCTCACATGCTGTATTTTAGCTTGAGAGAGCACATCTCCTCCCAACTGGAGTCTGTAAATATAGGTCATTAGTAACCACACACATTTACACAACACTAGCAATATTAAGGGACACTGTGCCCAGTCTACATATCTGCCTTTTGTTAATATAGATACATCAGAATAAATGCTGTTTGATATGTAACACCCTTCTTTACAAGTCAATGGCAGTAAAATAGCCAAAATTCAGGTCCAGGCCTCAGCTAACTTCACACTGTGAAGTCAAACAAATCACACAACATATTGTTATCAGTGTAATGGCAGCAGTGTGGCAAAACACAGTACAACAGTTAATAATACCACTGTGAGTTAAAGATCTCATATAGCCGTACTTGGGCCCTCCTACCTATTTAAATATGAGCATCTCTTAGGCATGGTGCATGATAACTTTACCACATAATGCATGATCAGGGACAAAGAATATACCCAGTATTAGCATGGAGTTTTACTGGGGTTGCACAACGCAGGTTAATGAGGTGATCACTGTCCATATTTTCCATTTTGGCCCAGAGTTTTCTTTTAATTTGATGGGACTAAGGAAGAGAATTCATGTATGTTCTTTGCCAGTCCAGTGCTGTGGCTAATGTTCTTCAGGGCAGCGGCCTTTCCTCAAGCTCACATCATCTAACCCAATGTCCCCAGTCCTTCCTTTCTCCTTTTCACCTTTGAAAATAACCTGAGGAAAGGAAATAAGACACAATCATGTAAATTAAAAAAAAAAAAAAAACGTGACAAGAATGGATATCTGTTCTGAAGGGTCCCAGCCTGAGGGAATATAGAGCTCTATCCCTGGCTGTTGGTTCATTGCAAGGTAACCATAATGGATAAAATACATTCTATGACCTGTAGAAGTGTGGTTACCATGCTGCTTGAAGTAGCATGCAGCTCTCACGGAGGAATCTGTCTTCAGTGGTGGTGACCCTTTTCTTTAGATATATTTAAATCATCCTCCCTGGATCACTTTATCTATTGCTCTAAGGAGTGAGTGTGTGTGTGTGTGTGTGTTGAGAATGTACCAGATTGTGCCAAGTATTGTGAAAACATTTTCTCTTCCACATACACATTGAAAACTGATCAATTTCAATACTGAATATATTTTAAGCAAGATCTAGAACATGTTGTTATATAACATATTCCAAACTTCCAGAGAAATGAGTTAGTCTAAACTTTGACTTCCTACAAAGTGATGTAGCAAATGCTGTGTATCTATGTTTTAAGCATAAACTAAAATTAGACCCAAATGAGGGAGAGCTCAACAGATTTAAAATAAGCTATGCAATTTGTGCTACATTTTATGCTATTTTGAAATGGCGTATTTTGTAATTTGGTGCTGTCTACACAGCACCAAATTTTGAAGTAACTCACTATTCCAAAATGCCCCTTAACTCTTGTGGAACGAGGGTTGCTGGGACATCAGAGTAAGCTTCCTGTTGTTTCAAAACAACAGGCTGCTTCAATAGAGGCGGAATAGTTATTTTGGAATATTTCTGGTATCCTGAAATAGCTCCTCAGTGTAGATGTACCCAGAATAATATGACCAAACTGGTAATGAACTCTAGCTGAATCCATTTTATGTTTAATTTTATCCATCCACAATCACGTGCACTTGTGCTCAGACTGTATTGTTTTAACATGTGTGATGTTATTTTCTCCATGGTATGAAAATTAAACATTCCAGCAGAGTACCCTCATGAGATAGGAACGTCTGATGCATGCATGCTCCCTAAAAAAATACCCAACCGGATATATACTCAGTGACCCCGTTGAAACTCAAGGAGGATTTTGCAACACATTACTACAATCAGACTTTAACACTGTGGAAAAAGTCAATACAAATGCAAGATTTGTGATCAATTCCATTAAATGTTTCTGGTATTTATTTAATTTTCAGTCTGGCAGAGTATTTTATATTGGTAGCTAGTATTTTTCAATACAATGGAGGAGAAACATGTCCCTGATGTGATTCCACTGTCAGGCATGAATTTGTAACTTTCAATTGAAAATAAAACCTAGGCTGATACTAGACCTAGCAGATGAATAGCCTAACGCTTCAACTGAACTTTATACTAAATCACTGAAAACTATATAAGCAGCCATACTTACACTTTTGATGCCCGAATCTTGCAAAGTTATTTGTGTTTGTCTCCAGCCATGGCCTCCATTTCTTCCCCAAACTGCTGGACCATGCACACCATTTTTTCTTAAAAACACTTGGAGTACACCAGAATGTAGTCCAGCTACCTTATGTCTAAAGGACAGACACAAGTCTCCTGAATGAGCTAACTGGCCAAGTGGCAAGATTAGACGTGCTACTTTTCCCTCTTTGCCTTTGGGTTTAGAGATAGTCACATACTGTCCACCTGCAAAAGAAAAGGCAGATTTTTTTAAATCTCTCCCAGGATGGTCAGTACTTTCACTCACAAAGACACAAATACATGATGTACCATCAATCTTGCAGATTCCTATTGCTTAGGGTTTTGAAACTCTAGGCCTTATAAGAAAGCACAGTTGTAAATGTGTTGCTGTGGTGGTGGTGATTTAATCTCTATTACATCTCATTGGTTCTCTGATGACACAGCTGCATAGGAAACATCATTACAAAGCCTAAATATCATTCTTAATATGAAACAAGTTTTAGGCACTCTCATTAATACATGGAAATTTTGAAAATTTCCAAGTCCCATTTTCAGAAGTGACAGAGGCCCTGAGAAACTAACCTAAGTCTCACTACACACTCTTGTGTGTGTTCTCTTACAATGTTAGATTGTTACTGTACATGTGATCTTCAGTCAAAAATCAATTAATAGCCCCATTCCTTTAGTGAGTTACAAATGCAATACATGTAAAACCAGAGGCTGTCATGGCACGGCAACATTTATAAAAGCCAAAATCAAAAGAGTAAGTAATCTCAAATTCTTATAATGATCCTTTTTATGTAGACTAAAACTGTGATAAATGAGACTTTTAGATCTTCTAAAAATCCCATAACCATATTGACCACGATTTTTTTTTAAAACTTTGAATTCGTTAAAGCTAGAGCAAGGTGTCAAAGATGAAGAGAGACTGCAGGACAGGGAAAGTGTTTTTTTGTCACCAGTCTGAATATGTGAATTACAAAATAATAATATCCAACTGAACTCAATGTGCTAATCAGAAAACAGCTTTGATAGCACAACAGAATGTCAAAAATCAAAATTCACTTTAAAGGTCTTAGTGTTAATTAAGCTATAAAGGTTCAATGAAATCTGAGTGGTTGAAGTTACTGAGCCTGAAAATATTTTTCATTTTGTAGAGATGTACAGATTTTATTTAATTATGATAGCTTAACTTTTTACTCTGAAGTTCACTCCCAGTTTTTATCAAACTAGAATTAAATATTTCTTGTTCACTTTGATCTTTAACGTTGTATAAATGTTTGTTCTTTAAAATCATCTCTTTGCAATATGAATGTGATTTTATATAATAATGTGCCAAGACAAGGCAAACAGTTGACTTAAAACAAAGTCCATAAGTTCAGTCTTCAGCTCCACAAAGCATTAAAGCATATGCCTAAACTCCATTGATTTCAATGAGATAATCACATGTGCAAATGCATTGCTGAACTAGCGCCTTAGAGTCATGTAGTGCAATTTACTTTAAAAAAATGCTATGCTTTATCTACCCGTTATTTTTGGAACAGTACAAATAAACTGATAGGAAAAAAGTTTCAGTTAGATCAGTATGATCCTAGCGGGCTGCACAGATTTTCCTAAATAAGTAGGAAAACACAGAGTGTGCTCGAGTGGGTGGGAGGAAGTGCAGAACAGCCCTGCAAGATTATACCTTCACCTGTTTTCTACGTGCAAAGTAAAACTTAAAGAAATAGCCCAGCACATTTAAAATGCAGCTTCTGGTAAACTAGTTTAAAAAATTAATCATCAGGGCTTTATAAGCTGAAAGCCAATACACAGTTGTCCAGCTGTCAAGAATAAATCTGTGAAATAAAAACAAACAAAACCCCAAATAACTGTACAGTAAGTAGCAGCAGTACCCATATATGTATAAGAAGCTGGAAAAATAGACTGTAACTGGTAGAGATGGGGGCAAAGGGGAATTCAAAAATATCATTTGGCTAGCTGGCTGGCAATTTTTTAATTTGTGATTTTAAAAACAACCTTGGAGTACACTAAATTCATGCATTTAATTGAGCTCACTTAATCAAAGACTCATTAGGTCACACTGTGTTCTAGGGCACAAGCATCTTAAAACTTGTGTGCATGTACTGCTAAATTCATCTCTTCTGAATTCTGATCCTGAGTCATATGGGCTACGTCTACACTGGCCCCTTTTCCGGAAGGGGCATGTAAATTTCACGAGTCGTCGTAGGGAAATCCGCGGGGGATTTAAATATCCCCCGCGGCATTTAAATAAAAATGTCCGCCGCTTTTTTCCGGCTTTTAAAAAAGCCGAAAAAGAGCGTCTAGACTGGCCCCGATCCTCCGGAAAAAGTGCCCTTTTCCGGAGGATCGGGGCCAGTCTAGACGCTCTTTTCCGGCTTTTTTAAAAGCCGGAAAAAAGCGGCGGACATTTTTATTTAAATGCCGCGGGGGATATTTAAATCCCCCGCGGATTTCCCTACGACGACTAGTGAAATTTACATGCCACTTCCGGAAGAGGGGCCAGTGTAGACGTAGCCACAATGCTTAGGATTCTTGCATTGTTGATTCACTGAAATAAAGTAACAGTCGTGCTTAGAGATGCCATATTAAGTATCAGAAAGGCCTGTGGGAATTTTATTCCTCACTATGCCTGTTGAACAGGTTTAATTAGTTGTACCATATAGGGTACGTAATCCCATAGGGTCTAATCTCCATCTCTTTGCTGGGAAGACTCAAGGGGAAGGCATGTTCAGGACTTCATATTTAAAACAAAAACTTCACAGTATAGCTATCAGCGTTATGTGAAGATAGATATGCCAGCAAAACCTGAGTAGCTTCCAGCCCTAGGGCTGTTGCTACACTTCAAAGGCGAAAGGGCTGCGTGGAGCCCGGGGTCAGCTTGGGACTCCCCTGCTGACCCCAGGCTCCGTGCAGTGCTGCCGCTTTGAAACAGCAAGTGCAGCCTGGGGTCACCCCAGCTGGCCCCAGGCTGCACACAGTGTTTCAAAGTGCAGTGCCACATAGAGCCCGGGGTCTGGCCCCAGACTTCATGCAGTGCTGCTGCCTTGAAGTACCCTCTCCATTTCCCGCTTTCTTCCTCTTTCTGATAGAGGCAGTGGGGGAGAGGAGGAGGAATGACTAGTCTTTCACATCCCTAACTCTAAGTTGTATCAATATCAGTGGTTCACTGCCCTGAGTGACTACCAACTGGGATTCAGAAAGAACCAGTGATAAGAGGCATGGCTCATTAGTGTTAGGAGGGTTTTTTTTTTTTTTTTTTTTTTGTTCAATTCAACTTCTCTCATTTCCCAATTGAATTAATTGAAAAATAAAGGGGCTAACAAAGAGCCAGCCCCTCAGATGATGACAAAAATTAATGGAACTACACCAGTGTGTATCAACACTGAAATTGTTAGCAAAAACCCCACTATATTTAATGTATTCAAGAACAAGTGCTAACACCATTGAGTTGTAGGCCATTTCTTAAGATACTATAAATTATCAGAGTTTTAAGAATCTCCTGCTCAGATTAAACGTAATGGGAGTTCTGTCAAACTTCAAGGGACCTAGGCTTGGGTTCTTAAACTTAAACTGGTGTGATGGGACAAAGTTATTCTACCTGATGGATCTCTAACTGGTTCCCAGTGCAAATCATCATCTTTATCCTTGATCCATCCACACAAACCATCATCAAAGTTACAGCTGTGCACCAGAATACCTGCAAAAAAAAAAAAAAACACCAGAAAGACAAGAAAGAACAGTTCTCAATCTTTAGGGCTAATGGTCCACTCACCAACTTTCTGACTGGACTGAATTTACAAGCACGTATGCTTACAAAAAATGAAGTGCAATCTATTGAGCCATACAAAAGGAAGCTACAGTACCATTAACAACTGCTAGGCAAATAAACAGAATCACTTAATATACTATTTAGAGAACAAGCCTGTGTTAACAAAATCCACGTTTGCTGATAAAATTCATGTTTGTAAATGAAGACGGAGACCAAAGATGGTATAAAACCAGCTGCTCTACAGGTATCCTGCAAAAAGTATATCCTGAATAGTAAACTTAATAATTACCTGGATCATCGTTTGCTTCATCCTCATCTGCACTAATCCCTCTTTCAATTTCAAATATTTCAAACAGATTATTGCTCACTCCAGGCTGGCGTGGTACTGTAAGAGAAAATAATTTTTAAGAAATGAATGAGGTAGATAAAAGTAGTCGACTACCTACTTCCTTATCTTTCATAAAAGGTAGAGAAAAAGCCTCAGGCTTATGCTCTTCTTAGTGGATTCAATACATTTAATTACATTTCATATGAAGATTCAAACTTCCCAACTCAGTGATTTATGCTGGAACATTTATCTGAGCTTTGTAAAAGGTGATTTAAAAAGTTCTGAAGACTCTGCAAACGAAAAGCATAAAAAAAAAAATTCTGTCCTTGAAATAGATTTTCTCTTTCAAATGACACCGAACAAATAAGTGATACAGCAGCTTGCTCCCAACTGCCTCCCTCCCACTGCTGTTGCCTTTTCCTCCTCCACCTATCTCTCAGTCCCAGAGCAACTCTTTAGCCACCTCTCCTCCCTTGATTTCCCCAGACTACACATCATTCAGTTACTATGCAGGAGACGTGGCATTTCCAAAACATTGTGGAGTTGACATCACAACCTCTTGATTTGGTGCCTCGGCTTACTGCTAGTGCTCCCCCACTCCCCTGCTGCCTCTGTATCAGAGGCAGCGGCAGAAGCATAGCAAGAGTATTATATGACCAGAGGCAAAGGCAAAATTTGCGCCCTTTCCCCCCTCTCCCCGCCCATCCTCCGTGGCAGGATCCTGAACCTGTTGCACTGCTGAGCCTAACCCTGGGACGAGCGGGGGAGGTT